GTGTGTCTCTGAGTGAGGGTTCGTGTGTTGTGTGTCTCTGAGTGGGGTCCGTGTGTTGTGTGTCTCTGAGTGGGGTCCGTGTGTTGTGTGTCATCTGAGTGAGGTCAGTGTGTTGTGTGTCTCTGAGTGAGGTCCGTGTGTTGTGTGTCTCTGAGTGGGTCCGTGTGTTGTGTGTCTCTGAGTGGGTTCCGTGTGTTGTGGTGTCTCTGAGTGAGGGTCCGTGTGTTGTGTGTCTCTGAGTGGGGTCCGTGTGTTGTGTTGTCTCTGAGCGGGTCCGTGTGTTGTGTGTCTCTGAGTGGGGTCCGAGTGTTGCGTGTCTCTGAGTGGGGTCCGTGTGTTGTGTGTCTCTGAGTGGGGTTCGTGTGTTGTGTGTCTCTGAGTGGGGTCCGTGTGTTGTGTGTCTCTGAGTGAGGTCCGTGTGTTGTGTGTCTCTGAGCGGGGTCCGTGTGTTGTGTGTCTCTGAGTGAGGTCCGTGTGTTGTGTCTTTCTGAGTGGGGTCCGTGTGTTGTGCGTCTCTGAGTGGGGTTCGTGTGTTGTGTGTCTCTGAGTGGGGTTCGTGTGTTGTGTGTCTCTGAGTGGGGTCCGTGTGTTGTGTGTCTCTGAGTGGGGTCAGTTTGGCTGTCTCTTGAGTGGGGTCCGTGTGTTGTGTGTCTCCGAGTTCGGTCCGTGTGTTGTGTGTCTCTGAGTGGGGTCCGTGTGTTGTGTGTCTCTGAGTGGGGTCCGTGTGTTGTGTGTCTCTGAGTGAGGTCCGTGTGTTGTGTCTCTGAATGAGGTCCGTGTGTTGTGTGTCTCTGAGTGGGGTCCGTGTGTTGTGTGTCTCTGAGTGGGGTTCGTGTGTTGTGTGTCTCTGAGTGGGGTCCGTGTGTTGTGTGTCTCTGAGTGGGGTCAGTGTGTTGTGTGTCTCTGAGTGGGGTCCGTGTGTTGTGTGTCTCTGAGTGGGGTCCGTGTGTTGTGTGTCTCTGAGTGGGGTCAGTTTGGCGTGTCTCTGAGCGGGGTCCGTGTGTTGTGTGTCTCTGAGCGGGGTCCGTGTGTTGTGTGTCTCTGAGTGGGGTCCGTGTGTTGTGTCTCTCTGAGTGGGGTCCGTGTGTTGTGTGTCTCTGAGCGAGGTCCGTGTGTTGTGTGTCTCTGAGTGAGGTCCGTGTGTTGCGTGTCTCTGAGTGGGGTCAGTGTGTTGTGTGTCTCTGAGTGGGGTCCGTGTGTTGTGTGTCTCTGAGTGGGGTTCGTGTGTTGTGTGTCTCTGAGTGGGGTCCGGGTGTTGTGTGTCTCTGAGTGGGGTCCGTGTGTTGTGTGTCTCTGAGTGGGGTCCGTGTGTTGTGTGTCTCTGAGTGGGGTCCGTGTGTTGTGTGTCTCTGAGTGGGGTCCGTGTGTTGTGTGTCTCTGAGTGGGGTCCGTGTGTTGTGTGTCTCTGAGTGAGGTCCGTGTGTTGTGTCTCTCTGAGTGGGGTTCGTGTGTTGTGTGTCTCTGAGCGGGGTCCGTGTGTTGTGTGTCTCTGAGTGAGGTCCGTGTGTTGTGTCTTTCTGAGTGGGGTCCGTGTGTTGTGCGTCTCTGAGTGGGGTTCGTGTGTTGTGTGTCTCTGAGTGGGGTCCGTGTGTTGTGTGTCTCTGAGTGGGGTCCGTGTGTTGTGTGTCTCTGAGTGGGGTTCGTGTGTTGTGTGTCTCTGAGTGGGGTCCGTGTGTTGTGTGTCTCTGAGTGGGGTCCGTGTGTTGTGTGTCTCTGAGTGGGGTCAGTGTGTTGTGTGTCTCTGAGCGAGGTCCGTGTGTTGTGTGTCTCTGAGTGGGGTCCGTGTGTTGTGTGTCTCTGAGTGGGGTTCGTGTGTTGTGTGTCTCTGAGTGGGGTCAGTGTGTTGTGTGTCTCTGAGCGAGGTCCGTGTGTTGTGTGTCTCTGAGTGGGGTCCGAGTGTTGCGTGTCTCTGAGTGGGGTCCGTGTGTTGTGTGTCTCTGAGTGGGGTTCGTGTGTTGTGTGTCTCTGAGTGGGGTCCGTGTGTTGTGTGTCTCTGAGTGAGGTCCGTGTGTTGTGTGTCTCTGAGTGGGGTCCGTGTGTTGCGTGTCTCTGAGTGAGGTCCGTGTGTTGCGTGTCTCTGAGTGAGGTCCGTGTGTTGTGTGTCTCTGAGTGGGGTCCGTGTGTTGTGTGTCTCTGAGTGAGGTCCGTGTGTTGCGTGTCTCTGAGTGGGGTCCGTGTGTTGCGTGTCTCTGAGTGGGGTCCGTGTGTTGTGTGTCTCTGAGTGGGGTCCGTGTGTTGTGTGTCTCTTAGTGGGGTCCGTGTGTTGTGTGTCTCTGAGTGGGGTCCGTGTGTTGTGTGTCTCTGAGTGGGGTCCGTGTGTTGTGTGTCTCTGAGTGGGGTTCGTGTGTTGTGTGTCTCCGAGTGGGGTCCGTGTGTTGTGTGTCTCTGAGTGAGGTCCGTGTGTTGTGTGTCTCTGAGTGGGGTCCGTGTGTTGCGTGTCTCTGAGTGAGGTCCGTGTGTTGTGTGTCTCTGAGTGAGGTCCGTGTGTTGCGTGTCTCTGAGTGAGGTCCGTGTGTTGTGTGTCTCTGAGTGGGGTCCGTGTGTTGTGTGTCTCTGAGTGAGGTCCGTGTGTTGCGTGTCTCTGAGTGGGGTCCGTGTGTTGTGTGTCTCTGAGTGGGGTTCGTGTGTTGTGTGTCTCTGAGTGGGGTCCGTGTGTTGTGTGTCTCTTAGTGGGGTCCGTGTGTTGTGTGTCTCTGAGTGGGGTCCGTGTGTTGTGTGTCTCTGAGTGGGGTCCGTGTGTTGTGTGTCTCTGAGTGGGGTTCGTGTGTTGTGTGTCTCTGAGTGGGGTCCGTGTGTTGTGTGTCTCTTAGTGGGGTCCGTGTGTTGTGTGTCTCTGAGTGGGGTCCGTGTGTTGTGTGTCTCTGAGTGGGGTCCGTGTGTTGTGTGTCTCTGAGTGGGGTCCGTGTGTTGTGTGTCTCTGAGTGGGGTCCGTGTGTTGTGTGTCTCTGAGTGAGGTCCGTGTGTTGTGTCTCTCTGAGTGGGGTTCGTGTGTTGTGTGTCTCTGAGCGGGGTCCGTGTGTTGTGTGTCTCCGAGTTCGGTCCGTGTGTTGTGTGTCTCTGAGTGGGGTCCGTGTGTTGTGTGTCTCTGAGTGGGGTCCGTGTGTTGTGCGTCTCTGAGTGAGGTCCGTGTGTTGTGTGTCTCTGAGTGGGGTCCGTGTGTTGTGTGTCTCTGAGTGGGGTTCGTGTGTTGTGTGTCTCTGAGTGGGGTCCGTGTGTTGTGTCTCTCTGAGTGGGGTCAGCGTGTTGTGTGTCTCTGAGTGGGGTCCGTGTGTTGTGTGTCTCTGAGTGGGGTCCGTGTGTTGTGTGTCTCTGAGTGGGGTCAGTTTGGCGTGTCTCTGAGCGGGGTCCGTGTGTTGTGTGTCTCTGAGCGGGGTCCGTGTGTTGTGTGTCTCTGAGTGGGGTCCGTGTGTTGTGTCTCTCTGAGTGGGGTCAGTGTGTTGTGTGTCTCTGAGTGGGGTCCGTGTGTTGTGTGTCTCTGAGTGGGGTCCGTGTGTTGTGTGTCTCTGAGTGGGGTCAGTTTGGCGTGTCTCTGAGTGGGGTCCGTGTGTTGTGTGTCTCTGAGCGGGGTCCGTGTGTTGTGTGTCTCTGAGTGGGGTCAGTGTGTTGTGTGTCTCTGAGTGGAGTCCGTGTGTTGTGTGTCTCTGAGTGGGGTCAGTGTGTTGCGTGTCTCTGAGTGGGGTCTGTGTGGTGTGTGTCTCTGCCTCTGGTCTGCGTGGGGTTCCTTCGGGTGCCGCGATGACTGCATACGCCGCCCCCACCGCCCCCACTGCCACCACCACCACAGCCGCCTCCACCACGTAAATTATTCTCCCGTTACTAATTCCGTTTTCACACTCTTGCCAAGACGCGGCCGGGCGATCTGCCGCCAGCGTTGTCACCGCACCACGGTGAGATCGGGGCGCAGGCACACGCTTCGGCGATTTGATTCCCACTCCTGTGCCTCGCCTGGATCGACTCAGCCTCAAATGAGTAACTGGTGCGGTGTGTAAACATCGCCACTGGGGAAACGAAGCCGGCCGGGCGTGATGCTGGACACACCACCTGCTCGTGCGCCTTGACAGCCTGCAAAGTCTACGCGGGTTTTAGCTTCGTCATTATCTTTGTGCGTGCTTACGTGTGTGCGTACGAGCGTGCGTGTGTGCGTGTGCGTGCATGTATGTGTGCCCGACACTGCATCGTCGAGGAGTTTGTGCAATGTAAACAGAGAGGGGGGGGGGCAGGAAGGTTTCTCTAAACAGCTGAGCGCGCCGTGCGTGTCCACGCTTGTCTGACACCAACGCTCTGCCGGTCCGCTAGTCCCGCCGAGCCCCGTCGCCCTGGAAACAGCCCGCCGAGGCCCGCGGCTCGATCTTCGGAAGGGTGCCCGCCGGGTCTGCTGGCTGTCTGCTCGACGTTCTTGCGCCTCCGGGCGTTGTGCACTCGCCCTCCGTGCCCAGGCGCCGTGCGCTCGGCGCTACGCAGTCTCGGCGCCGTCGCCGCGTGTCCGCGCGTCTCCCCGGCTCGCGTCTCTCTGTCCGTGCGCGCCTCGCTCCACGGTGGTGGCGCCATCGCCGCCCGTTGCGGAGAGCTTCGCGGTTGGACTCCGGCGGCCGCGCCGGCGCAGCGCTGCTGCGGTGGCGCGTGCCAACCGCGCCGTCCGCTTAAATCGCGGTGGACGTTAAAGATCCCGTGGCATCGTTCGCGAGACCGCAGGCTGTTGTAGCGCTTTCGTCGCAGTCAAAATTCAGCAAAATTTGACACCGGGATTTTACTCCACACAGCAGCAGCGATCACCGCTGTCCCGTCAGTACTAATAATAACAACAACAACAATAATAACGCTGCTGCGGCCTTGCTCGGGTGAAGGTGCTGACCACAGTTGTAATGGCGCCGCGGTAGCTGCGGTGTGGCGGTAGCAAGACTGTGGTGGGACGGGCGTTGTGACCCAATTGTGATGGTGCCGTGATGGTGCCGTGATGGCGTTGTGACGGCTTTGTGGTTTCTGTGTCCGTGGCCCCGCAGCCGAACCTGGAGTTGAGTCACCACGCTGACAAATCCCTGGACAGCTTCTGCCGCTGGCAGAAGGGGATGAACACGCGCGCCGCACAGGGCGACTCGCTGCCGGACAACGGCCTCGCGCACCACGACAACGCCGTGCTCATGACGCGGTGAGTCGGCCAAGCACGGCTCCTCGTCACTGCTCGTCGTCGCGGTCGTCACAGTTCATCGCATCGTCACGGTCGTCATGGTCACGGTCGTCACGGTCGTCACAGTTCATCGCATCGTCACGGTCGTCAGGGTCACGGTCGTCACGGTCACGGTCGTCATGGTCACGGTTCATCGCATCGTCACGGTCGTCATGGTCACGATAGTCACGGTCGTCATGGTCACGGTCGTCATGGTCATGGTTCATCGCATCGTCATGGTCGTCATGGTTACGGTCGTCATGGTCACGGTCATCATGGTCACGGTCGTCATGGTCACGGTCGTCATGGTCACAGTCGTCATGGTCACGGTCGTCATCGTAAGCATCACTCCGACCGCCATAGTGATGTCATCGTAGCTGCCATCGTCCACGCGATGCTCTCAGCCTTGCCTCGACCGCCGACTCACAATCTGAACGTGCGGCCGTTTGGTGCCATTGTCGCCGTTTCACTTGGGAGGGCCGAGATGTTTCTCGGTTCTTCCCCTCGTCGTCGTCGTCGTGCTGCGCGGTGCCACAGTGCCGCGGCTTGGCGGTGCGGCCTGACTCGTCTTTCTCCGATGCCCCCCCCCCCCCACCGTCATCCCCCTCCCTCCCCCCCACCATCATCCCCCCCGCCGCCCTCCCCCAGGTACGACATCTGCACCTACAAGAACAAGCCGTGCGGCACACTGGGTGAGTCCGCGCGCCGCCTCGAACACGCGTAGCCGTTGAACGCGCTCGCGCGCCGGTCTCGGGACGCGTTGCGCGCCACGAGCGGCTCGCGTTCCTCCGGCGGCCGTCCCCGTCCCGCGCCGTCTGCCTCGCTCGGCCGGCCGTCCCGTCGCCCGTTCCACGGGGCCGGCGGCCTGGAACGACGGACGCGTCTCGTGGTGAACGGCGACGAAGGCAAACTTGAGAGGATGAAGCGAGGCAGCGAGGCGGCGTATTGAAATCGCATCGACGGCCGCGTGGACACGCGAGGAATCGGAATGGGTTGTCCTGGGCGAGTACGCGGCTTGCACGTGTTGGGGGGGAGGGGGGGAGCGCTCACAGAACACACCGCACGGCACCCTTGACAACAGCTACGGGGCACCCTTGACAACAGCTACGGGATGCGTGCGCGGTCCGGCACGAGAGGGAAGACGACGTTCCTCCACCGAGCAAAAACAAAAAATTCTAAAATGTCGATATTTTGTGGGCCAGGAACTGGTTGTATATTTGTTCCGTACACTCCCCCCCCCCCCCACGTGACCTGTGTAGTGGTGGTGGGGCGTGTGTGTGGGTAACAGCTGATTGAAAGTGTCACTGGGAATGGATTGTCTTGTGCCGAGCTACGCTAGCAGTGACGCACACACACACAGGCGCCCGCACGCTCACATGGACAAACACGCGCACACGCGAGGGAACAGCTGTTGGGATTCGGGTTCGGAGCGCAACAGCACGAGGCGGGGAGGAGACGAGGGAGGGACCCGCCGTGCAATGGAACCCCGCGGCCCCCCGTGGCCGCCAGGGTGGACCCAGGGAGCGAGCGGAGAGCGGCGGTCGCGAGATTCACGTCCTGGTCGAGGGGACGGTGTCGACTCGGGGCAAAGAAAATTGGCACCGCTCTGCGGAAAAAGTCAACGTAGGAATGTGGAATTTCCACCAGCGGCTCAGCAGATGAGCGCCGGGGTGCTTCACGTGACGCGGTGCGGGAGGAGCGTAGGGGGGGGGCACGGTGGTTTTGGCAGGAGGTTGGAGAGAGCGGGGAGCGCGTCGGCTGTCTCGTCATGGAGCAGGAGGTGAAAGACTCTTCGGTGGGGAGTTAGCCTCTTGCGGTGTTAATGGCGTGCGTGCGCGTGTGTCATGGCGGGGGGGGGGGGAGTGGTGGCGCAGCGGTTAGCGAGCCGCCCTCCAAACCCGACGGCCCGAGTTCGACTCGCACACGCGGCCAACATCGGCAGCAGCGAACATCTCAATCGGTCCTGGGTCTCTCCCCTAGGTCGGCTCCGCCTTAAAATCAGTGCCCGGTGCTGCGTGTGAACATCAGGATTGAGGAGACAAAAGCGGAGGGACGTGGTGCTGGTGCCGTGCCGACCTTAATAGGTGCTCGCTAACAGCACTTGCCCCAGCAGTCTGTTAAAGGCTACACGGGGGAGCTTCGTCTTTTTGGGTCGTGTGACGCGTGTTGACGCCCGCGGCAAACTTGGCCCAGCCTCGGGAACAGCGGCAATGTGGCCACTCACCAGGGAGAGCCGGGGAGAGCCGGGGAGAGCCAGGGAGAGCCAGGGAGAGCCAGGGAGAAACCTGGAGAGCCAGAGAGAGCCAGGGAGAAACCTGGAGAGACCCCATAGAGAGACTCCAGAGATAGATGCCACAGAGAGACCCCAGAGAGAGACCCCAGAGAGAGACCTGGAGCACGTCAGACATTCTCTCTGCGTGCAGGAATGTTGGCAGGGGGGCGACGCCGGCTTGTTGTTGTATCTCGTTGGCGCGTGGACGTGTGAACTCAAGTAACGGAAAAACAAAAACCACGTTGGCCGTGGGCGTCGGGGCGGTGCTGACACCCGTGCGAGAGGCACCTGGGCTCGATTGCCAACTCGGGCGCCTGCGTGCGCGGAGCGTGCACGTGTCCTCCTCCCGTGGCTCAACTCGCGCACAGTCAACATCGGAATCCCGCGGCCTTCCCTGCTGAATACGTCGCGATCGATCGTTCCGCCAGCGGCTCTCCCCCCCCCCCCCCACCCCGACGGTCCGCTAAGGCTACCCGTGGAATCTTTGTCTTTGTGCGCCGCCACGCGCGGGGGGTGGCCAGGCCTGGCGCCGGTGAGCGGGATGTGCGAGCCGGAGCGCAGCTGCAGCATCAACGAGGACCTGGGCCTCGCGTCGGCGTTCACCATCGCCCACGAGATGGGCCACAAGTGAGGGCACCCACGCGGCGACACGCGACACGCGGCGCAAAAACAACGCCAGCGGCGAACCCCGCCGGGGACGTCGCCGCCGCGGCGCTCGCCGCACTTTGAGACCGTGCGGCGTGCGGCGTCGGAGGGCTCTCTGCTGCAGGAGGTCACGGGCAGGCCCAGGTGCTGTGGGGGGAACGAGGGGAGCGAGGGGAGCAAGGGGGGAGCGAGGGGGGAACGAGGGGAGCGAGGGGGGGAGCGAGCGGGGGGGGAGCGAAGGGGGGGGAGCGAGGGGGGGAGCGAGGGGGGGGGAGCGAGGGGGGGGGAGCGAGGGGGGGGAGCGAGGGGGGGAGCGAGGGGGGGGGAGCGAGGGGGGGGAGCGAGGGGGGGGGAGCGAGGGGGGGAGCGAGGGGGGGAGCGAGGGGGGGAGCGAGGGGGGGGAGCGAGGGGGGGGAGCGAGGGGGGGGAGCGAGGGGGGGGAGCGAGGGGGGGGAGCGAGGGGGGGGAGCGAGGGGGGGGGGAGCGAGGGGGGGGAGCGAGGGGGGGAGCGAGGGGGGGGGAGCGAGGGGGGGGGAGCGAGGGGGGGGAGCGAGGGGGGGGAGCGAGGGGGGGGGAGCGAGGGGGGGGAGCGCGGGGGGGGAGCGAGGGGGGGGAGCGAGGGGGGGGAGCGAGGGGGGGGAGCGAGGGGGGGGAGCGAGGGGGGGGAGCGAGGGGGGGGAGCGAGGGGGGGGAGCGAGGGGGGGGAGCGAGGGGGGGAGCGAGGGGGGGGAGCGAGGGGGGGGAGCGAGGGGGGGGAGCGAGGGGGGGGAGCGAGGGGGGGGAGCGAGGGGGGGGAGCGAGGGGGGGGAGCGAGGGGGGCGGGGGGGGAGCGGGGGGGGGAGCGAGGGGGGGGAGCGAGGGGGGGGAGCGAGGGGGGGGCTCTCATTGCCGCACTTGTTCCGTAGTTTCGGGATGAACCACGACGGCACGGGGAACGCGTGCGGCACGCGCGGCGGCCGCGAGGCTGCCAAGATCATGGCGGCGCAGCTGACGTCGGCGACGAGCCCCTTCTCCTGGTCGTCGTGCAGCCGCGACTACATCACCTCCTTCCTCGAGTGAGCGGCCCGCCGGGCAAACACCCCCCCAGCTCCACCCTGCCCCCACCCCCGCCACCCATCCGGCCCCCCCCCCACTTCCACTCCTGCCCCCCCCCACTTCCACTCCTGCCCCCCCCCACTTCCACTCCTGCCCCCCCCCCACACTTCCACCCCCTCCGCCCCCCCCCTCCCCCCCCCTCCACCCCTGCCCCCCCCACCTCCACCCCTGCCCCCCCCCACCTCCACCCCTGCCCCCCCCCCCACTTCCACTCCTGCCCCCCCCCCACCTCCACCCCTGCCCCCCCCCTACCTCCACCCCTGGCCCCCCCCCCGCGTCCGACCGACTACCGACGACTTACCGCACCACCCGCAGCAATAGCAGCCGGGCCTCCGCTGGGCCCAACGTTGGGTCAGTGTTGGGCAGTATAGGACCACTTATGAACCAACTTTGGCATGTCGTTGGAACTGCTGGCTCGACGTTGGGGCAACGTTGGGTCAGTGTTCCATGTTTACTGGGTCCATAGCTCAAATGAACGAAGATGGAATAATCACGAGCATGGGCGGACGATCCTCCTCCTCCCCACTTCTCTCCCTCCGCTGAATGCAGGCAGCGATGTCACCTCGTCTGTAACTGTGCTGCCATCAGTCTCCAAGTAGTCGTCCCGAGCTGCCTCACGCTTCGGGGAATTCACCGTTTGTGGAGTATTTTCGATGCCCGTGCAACGCAAGTCGCTTTTGCTCCGATTTCTATAACCTGCGTCATCGGTGACGTCATCGGTGACAGCATCGGTGACAGCATCGGTGACGTCATCGGTTGCGCCATCGGTGGCGTCATCGGTGACGCCATCGGTGACGTCATCGGTGACAGCATCGGTGACGTCATCGGTGACGTCATCGGTGACGTCACCAATGACGCAGGTCACGCGCTCTCGCGAATGAGCCTCGTCGTCCCGGGTCTCACTCTCGGGTTCCCGCCCGCCGGTGAAACAAAACCAGCCGTGCCGCTCGAACTCGCTGGCACGTGACGAAGCCGGCGGCTGTGAGCGCTGAGCTGACCTCCGACCTCTGCCGCCGCAGCTCGGGACGCGCGAGCTGCCTGGACAACTCCCCGCCCAAGCGCGACTTCGTGTACCCGACGTCGCTGCCGGGCCGGCGGCACGACGCCGACGAGCAGTGCCGCTTCCAGTACGGCCCGTCGTCGCGCCAGTGCAAGTACGGGGTAAGCGTGCGCCCGTGACCGCCGCCGCCGCCCGCCGCCCGCGGTTTCCACGACGCGCTAACGTTGGGCCCACGTTGGGGCCGACGTTACCCACCACGCGCCAACGTTGACCCCTGCTTTGCAGGTTGTTTTTCCATTGTGCTAACCGAGCCGCGCCAGCCAAGTAACCCGATGACTGCAGCGAAATAAGAATATTACTTTTGCACTTAATTTGGGCAAGAATTTCAGCGGTGAGAAATCAAATTTTCTTGTATCTCTTTGGATCATCGGCCGTCGATCATTCCTCTGTCGCAGGCTGAGTGTGAAAGGGCGACCACCCTGAAGGGGATCTCGGGAGTAGTTCTGCGATGTCCAGCTTCCTCGCCCCGCTCCCTACAACACACGATGATTAATCGGAGGCTCCACACTTGCTCCCCTGTCCGTCAGGAAGTTTGCCGAGAGCTCTGGTGCATCAGCCGCAGCAACCGCTGCATCACCAACAGCATCCCGGCAGCCGAGGGCACCCAGTGCCAGACGGACAGCGTCACCAAGGGGGTGCGTGCGTGTGCGCGTGTGCGCGTGTGCGCGCGTGTGCGTATGTGTGCGAGTGTGTGCGGTCGTGTAGCAGTTATCACTCCGCGCTCCGAACCTGACGACCCTGGTTCGATTCCCACTCACGGCCAACACCAGTGACGATTATCTGAACCGGTCCTGGGACTTCCCTAGGTCGACTTAGCCTCAAATGGTGTGGTGTGTAAACATCGCCACTGGGGAGACAAAGGCGGTCGGGCGTGGTGCTGGCCACCCTAACCCCTTATGTGCCATGCTGGCCTTCATAGGTGCTCACTAACAGCACTTGCCCCTACAGTCTGTTCAGGCTATACGGGGGATCTTTGTCTTCTGTGCGCGCGCATGTGTATGTGTGCACGTGTGTGTGCACGCGCGTGTGACGACGCCATGGCGTTGTGCACTTCGAGACCACGTGGGATGTGGAAGGCTCTCACTGCTGTCACCAGGAGGTCACGGGACTGACCCAGGTGTTATGGGTTGGCTGAAGTGCCAGACTAGGTGCAGGAGGTCACGGGACATACCCAGATGTACCAACCGACGTAACTGGCAGATGCACCACCTGTGCTCCCCAGTGCCCCGACACACGCACACACACGTACAGACACACAAAGATAAAGCTCCCCCGTGTAACCTTAACAGGCTGTAGGGGCAAGTGCTGTTAGCGAGCACCTAGGACACACACACACACACGTGGGAGGGAGTGGTGGCGCAGCAGTTAGCGCAACACGCTACGAACACGGCGGTGCGACCCGCTTGCGATCCAATATTCGGAGACGATTATCGGCGCCGGTCGCGGGCTTCGCCTCGGTCAACTTGCGCCTGGTGCGGCACCGTGCCGGGCGGGCATCGCTGCGCTGCCACGGACCACGTGGGGGACCTTTGTCTTTGTGTGTCGGCGCAGTGGTGCTACCAGGGGGAGTGCGTGCCGCTGGGCACCGCGCCGGAGCGCGTGGACGGCGCCTGGGGCCTCTGGTCCCCCTGGGGGGACTGCAGCCGCAGCTGCGGAGGAGGGGTCTCCTCCTCGTTCCGGCACTGCGACAACCCCGTGTACGCACGCGCACCTCGTCGTCGGCGGCGTCGCCGTCGTCAAAATATCATCCTCATCATCGGCGTCGCCATCGTCATCATCGTCATCATCACCATCCTCATCATCGGCGTCGCCATCGTCATCATTCGTCATCATTCACCATCCTCATCATCGGCGTCGCCATCGTCATCATCGTTCATCATCACCATACTCATTCATCGGCGTCACCATCGTCATGCATTGTCATCATCACCATCCTCATCATCCGGCGTCCGCCATCTCATCATTGTCATTCATCCCCATCCTCCTCATGTCCGTCATCATTGTCATCATCACCATCCTCATCATCGGCGTCGCCATCGTCATCATTGTCATCATCACCATCCTCATCATCGGCGTCGCCATCCTCATCATTGTCATCATCACCATCCTCATCATCGTCGTCACCATCGTCATCATCGTCATCATCACCATCCTCATCATCGTCGTCGCCATCGTCATCATTGTCATCATCACCATCCTCATCATCGTCGTCACCATCGTCATCATTGTCATCATCACCATCCTCATCATCGGCGTCGCCATCGTCATCATTGTCATCATCACCATCCTCATCATCGGCGTCGCCATCGTCATCATTGTCATCATCACCATCCTCATCATCGGCGTCACCATCGTCATCATTGTCATCATCACCATCCTCATCATCGTCGTCGCCATCGTCATCTGTCATCATCACCATCCTCATCATCGTCGTCGCCATCGTCATTGTCATCATCACCATCTCATCATCGGCGTCGCCATCGTCATCATTGTCATCATCACCATCCTCATCATCGGCGTCGCCATCGTCATCATTGTCATCATCACCATCCTCATCATCGGCGTCGCCATCGTCATCATTGTCATCATCACCATCCTCATCATCGGCGTCGCCATCTCATCATTGTCATCATCACCATCCTCATCATCGTCGTCACCATCTTCTCATCGTCATCATCACCATCCTCATCATCGTCGTCGCCATCGTCATCATTGTCATCATCACCATCCTCATCATCGTCGTCCATCGTCATCATTGTCATCATCACCATCCTCATCATCGGCGTCGCCATCGTCATCATTGTCATCATCACCATCCTCATCATCGGCGTCGCCATCGTCATCATTGTCATCATCACCATCCTCATCATCGGCGTCGCCATCGTCATCATTGTCATCATCACCATCCTCATCATCGTCGTCACCATCGTCATCATTGTCATCATCACCATCCTCATCATCGGCGTCGCCATCCTCATCATTGTCATCATCACCATCCTCATCATCGTCGTCACCATCGTCATCATCGTCATCATCACCATCCTCATCATCGTCGTCGCCATCGTCATCATTGTCATCATCACCATCCTCATCATCGTCGTCACCATCGTCATCATTGTCATCATCACCATCCTCATCATCGGCGTCGCCATCGTCATCATTGTCATCATCACCATCCTCATCATCGTCGTCACCATCGTCATCATTGTCATCATCACCATCCTCATCATCGGCGTCACCATCCTCATCATCGTCGTCACCATCGTCATCATTGTCATCATCACCATCCTCATCATCGGCGTCACCATCGTCATCATTGTCATCATCACCATCCTCATCTTCATCACAGTTGTCATCACCATCGTCATTGTCGTCGTCATTCTTACCATCATCATCACGATCGCTACCATCTCTGTCACCGTCGTCATCGTCATCATCGCTACCATGGATGACGGAATGGCCACGCGTGCATCTCTTTGGAGCCGGTGATCTGGACAAGGCTGGGCGTGTTTTCGCAATTGCAGTGCCGCTGACTGCACTCGGCCCAGACAGCAGCGCCCACGGCACCAGCTGTTGCCGCTGTTCCCGGCGCCGCCGCCGCGTCTGACTCTGTTAGTTTTGTTTTCTTTAATCGGCTCGCGGCTTAGCGGCGCTTAGCGCCGGCGTTGCCGCGGGCACCGCCGCCGCACCGCCGTTGCCCCCCCGGGCGGCGGGTCGCACGAGGGGGGAGCCGCGGTTCCCACACGATGCTCCGGAGAATGCCACGGTCCGTGCTCTCGCGTCCACGGTGGCACGAGGTCCGTGTGTGTCCGTGTGTGTCCGTGTGTGTGCATGTGTACGTACTCGTGTGTGCCCATGTGCGTGTCCGTGTGTGCTCGTGTGTGCTCGTGTGCGTGTCCGTGTGTGTACGTATGTGTGTGTCCGTGTGTGTCCGTGTGTACCCGTGTGTGTGCGTGTGTACCCGTATGTGTCCATGTGTGCCTGCATGTGTGCGTGTGTGTCCGTGTGTGTCCGTGCGTGCCTGTGTGTGTCCGTGTGGGCCCGTGTGCATCCGGCCTTCAAAGGTCCTCACTGACAGCACTTGCCATAAAAGCCTGTGCAAGGCTACACGGGGGATCTTTGTATGCGTGTGCACGCATGTGTCTGTGTGTGTCCACGTGGTGAAACATCCCGTGTGTGTCCGCATGTCCATGCAGGCCGGCTCATGGAGGGAAGTACTGCCTGGGGGAGCGCAAGCGCTACCGCTCGTGCAACGTGGAGGTGCGTGTGTGCCGTACCCCGCTCCACGCGCCGCCGGCCCCGCTCCACACCCCGCCGTACCCCGCTCCACGCCCCGCCGTACCCCGCTCCACGCCCCGCAGGACCCTCTCCACGCCCCGCCGTACCCCGCTCCACGCCCCGCCGTACCCCGCTCCACGCCACGCCGTACCCCGCTCCACGCCCCGCCGTACCCCGCTCCACGCCCCGCCGTACCCCGCTCCACGCCCCCCCGTACCCCGCTCCACGCCCCGCCGTACCCCGCTCCACGCCCCACAGGACCCTCCCCGTGCCCCACCGGCCCCTGGAGAGGCGGCTCTTTCTGCGCGTCATAGTACCTGGTGGTGGTGGTGTTGTTGTTGTTGTTAGTGGTAGTGTTGGTGTTGTTGGTAGTGGTGTTGTTAGTGTTGATGTTGTTGTTGTTTTTGGGGAGGTGTGGTTGTGGTTGTTAGTGGTAGTGTTGGTGTGGTTGTTGATGGTGTTGTTGTGGTCGTGGCATCGCGATTACGGTGACGCCGTTTCTTGTCGTTTCTCGCTGTTGATGGCGGCGCTCCAGGATTGCCCCGAGGGCTCCCAGGACTTCCGTGAGAAGCAGTGTTCCGACTTCGACAGCGTTCCCTTCCGGGGGAAGTACTACACCTGGAAGCCGTACTCCGGAGGTATGGTCCATTGCTATTGTAGTAAGTATATGGAGGCTTGACGACAGGATCGGAGGCACACTTATTTATTACACCAACACAGTTATTTACAGGTCACTGGGCTACAGGGATTTCTCGACAGCTAACCCCTCTAACCTATACCAATTCCTCCACTACGGGACTAGGGGAGGCTATCTGTCCCAGCTTGGTTAAGCTGGGATCCCGGCTCCCTGAGTCACCAGACCAGCTTCGTCTGGGCTCTCGGGGCCACGCCACCGGCTTGCCCTGGTCGGCCCTTATAAGGACAGCGAGCCAGGGGAGCTCTGGGGCCTACACTAGCTGGTCTTCCGTCTTCTCTGGTTATAGCTGAGTCCCGACTCCCGAGCCTTTCGGCTCATCACCTTTTATAGGACTTGCCCCCAAGGGGGGGGGGCCCGTGGGGGATACACATGCGGACGTCGGTGCGAGCGCCACCCTTGTGTACGGCCGTAACCCCGCCCCTTGTGTTTGTTGGCCATCCGTGGCCATGCATAATCACACCTCAACATTCGTAGACATGCGCAATTACACCTCTACATCACCCCCCCCTGTACAGCTCGCAGCCGTCCCCGGCTGCAAAAAAAAAAAAAAATCAGAATAAAGGTGCATCCCTCACAAAAACCCCGTGTGTGCCTCGCGTAATTTTTAACAAGAACAAGAACAACGAGAGGAAGAGAGAGAGAGAGAAAAAAAATAACCCGACGCACCCCCCCCGGATAACACCCCAAAACCAACATATATATACACTCCGGACGTCACCTTTCCCATCGTCCGCAAGGCCCCCCAACGGCCGACCTCACAACACCCCTCCCCTTTTGTCCGCCAGGCCCCCCAACGGCCGACCTCACAAAAGTCTGCGCGTTTTGGCGCGCGTTCTCGCGGCGGGTCCGTCACAAGGGCCCGTCCCGGCACGCTCAGTGACGGTTGTTGACGGTCCGGGTGCAAGAGGGTCAGGCTCCGCTGCCGAGTGACCCCCGACCCTTCCGGGAGGGGTTGGTGGGCGTGGGCCCGTCACTCCTGTTTCACCTGGGGGCGGAACAGTTGGCGTCAGGTTAGGCGAGTGCAGCGACGACGGGGAGTCGGCGACACCCTCACACGTTTGGCCATGCGTGTGTGTGTGTGAACCCCGGGGCGGCGTGACGAATGGTTTTAACCTTGAGGGGTGCACATACCACCGGCGCCTCCCCCATTTGACGCGAACACATTGCGGCCGCAAAACCTGCACGACCTCCACTGGCCCCCGCCACGGCCGTACCAATTTCGACGAGGTTGCCAGCGGCACCTGAGGACAGTGCAACCACGCCCTGTCCCCTGGTACCCATTTGACCACCTGCACCCGCCCCAACCGAAGCCTCTCGTTCGCCTTCTGGCGGAGTTCAGAATTTTGCACGGCCGCTTCCCGCGCCTCAGACAATTGAGCGATGTTAAATTTAACGTGTTCGGACAACTTAGACTTCGCCTGGAGCGCCGAGAGCTTCAGCTGGGTCGCCACAGGAGGGTTAACTTCGCGCCCATACATTAAAAAGAAAGGGGAAAATCCGGTGGCCGCATGGGGAGCCATTCTGTAGGCCTGCAACACACCGGCTATGCGGAGGTCCCAATCCGTCTGGGATACCGACACCTGCTGGGACAGCATGGACGTGATGGTCCGATGCAGCCGTTCCACCATCCCGTCAGTTTGTGGGTGATACGGAGAGGTCCGAACCTTCTCCGTACCCAAGAGGTCGCACACCTCACGTAGGAGTTTACCAGAAAAATTCCTACCCTGGTCAGTAAGCAGCCGTTCCGGAGCACCCTTGTCGAGGACATAGCCCTGGACAAAGGCCTCCGCGATGGCTGCTGCCGATTGGTTCGCCAGGGGCCAGGCCATAGGCCATCTCGTGAAGTATTCAACCCCCGTTAGTAAATACCTATTGCCCCTGGGTGTAGCGGGAAATGGGCCAAGTATGTCCAGAGCGACGAGCTCGTTAACCCTGGAAACTTTTATGGACTGCAGCGGAGGGTTGGACCCCCTAGCAGGTGGCTTCCTCTGCGCGCATTGCGTGCACGACCCCAAGAGGTCCCCCACGTCCTTTTCCATGCCCGGCCAGAAGAAATCTAGCTGGAGCGTGGCAAAGGTCTTATGAACCCCCAAGTGCAGAAGCCGCTCATGAACAGCCCATACCACCTTACCCCTTAAAGCAGCAGGCACCACGAGCCGCTGGCGCCGGGTTTTACCATTCCAGTGCATTAAAAGTCCCTGGAACAACCCCCACGAGTCAACGTTTTCCACCCCCTGGCCAATCCCCCCGGCGCGACGGCGCAGAGCGAGGAGGGAGGTGTCCTCCATTTGGAGGCGACCCCATTCCGCGACTGACAACCCCAGCAACGAATCCCTCCCTTCTTGCTCGATAGGACCCGAAACCGAAGGTGCATCGGCAGCGGCCACGAGGACCGAATCGGTGGTGACGTTCGGAGACCTACAACGCCCCGAACCCAAGAGGCACGCGCACTCCGAAGTGGGTGGCAATCGCGACAGGGCGTCAGCGTTCGTGTGGCGGAGACCCTTACGATATGTGGTGACAAAGTCATAGTCTTGGAGAATCTCCAACCATCGAGACAACTGGCCCGATGGTTGTTGAACCCGCAGGGCGTATTGTAGGGCCGCATGATCTGTACGGACGGTGAACCGCCGACCGTACAGATACGGGCGGTACTGCTGAATGAAATAAACAATCGCCAATAATTCCCGACGGGTAACGCAGTACCGCTGTTCGGCTGGAGACAGTACCCGACTACCGTAAGCCACCACATGCTCTACGCCCCCAATGAGCTGGGACAGCACGCCCCCGATGCCCGTGTTACTTGCATCTGTATCGAGCAAGAAGGGTTGTGAAAAATCCGGGTAATTCAACGGCGGCGCCCCCACCAAAGCATTCCGGAGGGCGCGAAAAGAAGCCTCCTCCTCCGGCCCCCAATGAAACCTGACTCCCTTGGACGTCAAGGCATGCAAAGGTTTCGCAATCGTAGCGAAGTCAGCCACAAATCGCCGATAATACGACGCGAACCCAATGAAACTCCTGACCTCTCCCACAGAGGTGGGAGTCGGCCAGGAGCTGACGCATTCCGTTTTGGCGGGATCAGTGGATATCCCCGAGCGCCCAACAATGTGACCCAAATATCGCACCGATTCGCGGAGTAAATGGCACTTCTGTGGTTTAAATTTCAAATTGGCAGCCCGCATTTTGAGAAAAACAGCACGCAACCTCTGGAGGTGTTCCTCGAAGGATTTGCTAAAGACGATGACATCGTCTAAGTAAATCAAACACGAATCCCATTGCAACCCTGCCAAGACCAATTCCATTAACCGCTGAAAAGTTGCCGGCGCAGAATGTAAACCCATCGGCAAGCGGTTAAATTGGAAGAGACCCTGCGGTGTCCGAAAAGCAGTCTTAGGTTTTGATTCGTCATCCAGAGGAAGCTGCCAGAATCCAGATAGCAAATCGAGGGTGGAAAAGAATCGCGCCCCCGCCAAGGCATCGAGCGACTCATCCATTCGAGGAAGCGGGTACGCATCTGCCACAGAGATTTTGTTCAGACGCCGAAAGTCGACACAAAACCGCAGTGAGCCGTCGTGTTTTTTCACCAAAACGATCGGCGCGCCCCACGGGCTATTGGAAGGGGAAATGATATCGGCGGCTAGCATGTCATCAACAGCCGATTTGACATGATCCTTTTCGGCGGGACTCAACCGAAAGGGATTTTGGCGGATTGGCGCGCTGTCACCCGTGTCAATATGGTGTCGCAGCAATTTAGTACAACCAATATCAAATTTGTGTTGACTAAAAACGTCAGCAAATTCGCTCAGAAGAACTCGCAGCTGCGCGCGCTGCGAGTCGGACAGGTCCACTGAACCCGCGCAAAGCGCATCCAGCCAACCGTCATCACAGTCCGAATGCGGTCGCGACGGAGGATCGGTGGATACCTGACCCACGAGTGGTTCCTCATAGGGTACCGGCGTTGCGTGTGCAAGCACGGTCCCTTGAGGAACCACGGCCGTTCGCGATCCCACATTAAGGACTGCAATGAAGGGGTCCCCATCCCCTCTCACCATGGTCTGAGCCGCGAGCAAATCTGGTCCATTTACCCCGGCCCGAGATGGTCCCAACAAGACCCCCCGATCCGCAACCCCTTCATTAAACGGCCGACGCAATCTAAGAGGGACGAGCATCTGAGCCCCCGGAGGCACGCGCACAGTTTTTGTGACGAGCGCCTGCACGGTGGCAAACGCCCGACGCTCCGTGGTGGGGGAAGACAGAAATGTAACGCGTCGGCCCGATGGGAGCTCAATGCACCCTTGGTCAATAAGGATGCGGATGGGCATTTTGGCCAGAAAATCCGTCCCCAACAGGCACGGAACCGCGAGTGAGGAGGAAACCAAAACAGGCCCGGATAATTTAATGTCCCCAATGCAGATAGTGGCGCGGATTTGGCCAATAATGCCCAGAGAGCCCCCGTTAGCGGCATAGCACGGCACGTCAACAGGGAGCAAGGGACGACTTTGAACGGGAAGGATGTTATAAATTAAATCAGATATAATGGTCGCCGATGCCCCTGTGTCAATTAAAATCCGCACCTCTACCCCATCAATGTGACCGACCACGACCGATGATCCCGCCGACGCAGCAACGACACGATGGGCGAGCTCCGACCACTGACCCGGTTGGAGCGCCCGCCGCATTACCGAACGATCGCGCGCGACGGATGGGGAATTTGGAGCCCTGTTTAGTTGGGCGCGTGAGTGTGTGTCGGATGTGTGCGTGGGCCAAACGTGTGAGGTGCCGCGACTCGCCGTATTTCTCTGCTGGAGCTTGGGAGGAGACGGCGTGGCGTCCTGACGAGGTGTCGCCCCGCGCTGACGGGGAGCCCGGCATCCTGACGCAACGTGGCCTTGCAGGCCACAGTTGTAGCAGCGTGTGAGCGCCCCCGATGTCCTGGGCTGCTCCTGGCGGCTCGGTCCATTCCGAGCCTGTGGTACTGCCGCTCTCCATTCCCCTCGCCGCTCCACCCCGCAGACCTCCTCCGATGGGAGGGCGGTAGCCGCCATGGCATGGCTGGCCGCCCCCTTTGCCGCCTTTCGACGAAGGGACCGCAAGCCCCCGTGGATGTGGCGCGCGACCAGCAGGGACGACATCTCTGAGTCGTCTTGAGCCAGGACGTTGACGTCCAGCTCATCAGCGAGTAGCAGCAGCTTCTCAGCCACCATGGCATCCACTCCTTCCTCGTCCATCCTTGGGAAAGCAGCCTTCGCTAGAGCCAGGAGAGCAGTCCGGAAGGCCAGAGGTGATTCGTTGGTGCCCCGACGCCGATCGTGGAAAAGCTGCCTGCAGTCCGAAGGCGGCCCATAGACGGCTGACAGCAGCTGCAACGCCAGGTGTAGGGTGGCGCGCTTTTCCCTCGGCGCCGAGGTGAGGGTAGCCAGGGCGTCGTTGTCCAGCATCGCTGGCAGCGCGCGTAGAGCCTCGGCGTCCGTCCAGTTCGCCATCTCCTGATGAGCGATGAACCGTCTCTTGAAGCCGCCCCAGTCTCCGTCTGCGCCTACGAATTCTTTCAGAGGTGGCAGACGCTGCTGCAAGGCGACGTCCGTGGCTGTAGATCGCTCTCCGTCGCTCCCCGCCGATGATACAGTGTGGGCGGGCTGTGCACATGGCATCGCCGGTCGCTCCGATGTCGACGCGCCGGCCGGTGTTGATGATGTCACGGCTTGTGCTTGGCGCTCAGCAGTCACGTGACGCGGGCCGGCCCCGCCGTCCGCTCGCACTGTAGAGATGGCGGGAAATTTAACCGCCAGCCGCGTCGGGGTGGCGGGAAACGTTGCCGCGCGCCGGCTGCTGTCGTCGACCCGCGCTGCCCCTCCAGCCCCCAGCCGCGTGATCTCCTCCAACGCAGCGGCGGCGGCGTAGAGCAGTTCCGCCAGGCGGGAGTGGGCCAGCCGGAGTCCTTCAGCCGACGCATCCCCCCCCTCTTGTCGTAGCGGCACGGGCGTACTTGGCCCCGGCTGCTCCGATCCGACCCCGGCCATCTCTGGTGTTGAATCGGCCGCGGCGTCTTCCATCTCCGACTCCTTGGTACGTGTCGTCCCTCGTGTGTCCATCGTTTGGACGTTTTACTTCTGACACCAGATGTAGTAAGTATATGGAGGCTTGACGACAGGATCGGAGGCACACTTATTTATTACACCAACACAGTTATTTACAGGTCACTGGGCTACAGGGATTTCTCGACAGCTAACCCCTCTAACCTATACCAATTCCTCCACTACGGGACTAGGGGAGGCTATCTGTCCCAGCTTGGTTAAGCTGGGATCCCGGCTCCCTGAGTCACCAGACCAGCTTCGTCTGGGCTCTCGGGGCCACGCCACCGGCTTGCCCTGGTCGGCCCTTATAAGGACAGCGAGCCAGGGGAGCTCTGGGGCCTACACTAGCTGGTCTTCCGTCTTCTCTGGTTATAGCTGAGTCCCGACTCCCGAGCCTTTCGGCTCATCACCTTTTATAGGACTTGCCCCCAAGGGGGGGGGGCCCGTGGGGGATACACATGCGGACGTCGGTGCGAGCGCCACCCTTGTGTACGGCCGTAACCCCGCCCCTTGTGTTTGTTGGCCATCCGTGGCCATGCATAATCACACCTCAACATTCGTAGACATGCGCAATTACACCTCTACACTATCGAGTGTTGCTGTTCCGCTCAATTTCCCCGGTCAGCCTCACCGAGTCCGGTGGCTCGTTCTCAGGGGGGTCCCGGCTATCCCACGGTGCTTTGAATTGCATTTGTTGACCATCGGCACGATTGACCTAAAGCCAGTGACAATGTGCGTTTGTTTAGCGATGGGAGTAGCGATAGAAGAGTGAGTGGGTCGATGGGTGGGTGGGTGGGTGAGCGTGTGGGTGGGCGTGTGGGTGAGTGGGTGAGCGTGTGGGTGGGTGGGTGAGCGTGTGGGTGAGCGTGTGGGTGAGTGGGTGAGCGGGTGAGCGTGTGGGTGAGTGGGCGAGTGGGTGGGTGGGTGAGTGGGTGAGCGTGTGGGTGGGTGGGTGAGCGTGTGGGTGAGTGGATAAGCGGGTGGCTGGGTGGGTGAGCGTGTGGGTGGGTGGTGAGCGTGTGGGTGGGTGGGTGAGCATGTGGGTGAGTGGGTGAGCGTGTGGGTGAGTGGGTGAGCATGTGGGTGAGTGGGTGAGTGGGTGAGCGTGTGGGTGAGTGGGTGAGTGGGTGGGTGGGTGAGTGGGTGAGCGTTTGGTTGGGTTGGTGAGCGTGTGCGTGGGTGGGTGAGTGTGTGGATGGGTGGGTGAGCGTGTGGGTGAGTGGGTGAGCATGTGGGTGAGTGGGTGGGTGGGTGGATAGGTGAGTCAGTGGTTGAGTGAGTGGATCAATGAGTTATCCCACGGTGCTTTGAATTGCATTTGTTTACCATAGCTGGCCCAAAGCTGTGCGTTATCTGCCCTATAGCTGGCCTGAAGCTGATCCATAGCTGGCCCTGATCTGGCCTATAGCTGAACTGAAGCTGGCCCATAGCCTGCCCTTAGCTGGCCCATAGCCGGCCCTTAGCTGGCCCATAGCCGGGCCCCGTAGCAGCGCGGTGACGCTTGTTGTGCTGCCCGTGGCCCCACAGCGCAGGTGAAGCCCTGTGCGCTCAGCTGCCTGGCGGACGGCTACCACTTCTACACGGAGCGCGCGCCCGCCGTGGTGGACGGCACGCGCTGCCACGGCGACCCCGACTCGCTGGACATCTGCGTCAACGGGGAGTGCCGCGTGAGTGAGACGCACGCCCGCACACAAAGACGAAGGTCCCTCGTATAGCCTGAACAGACTGTTGGGGCAAGCGGTGTGAGCGAGCGCCTATGAAGGCCGGAACGGCCAGCACCACGCCCGGCCGCCTTTGTCTCCCCAGTGGCGATGTTTACACACTGCACCAGGTACTCATTTGAGGCCGAGTCGGCCTAGAGGAGGCCCAGGACCGGTTCAGGTAGTTTTCACACTGGTCTTGGCCGTGAGCAGGAATCGGGTCGCCAGGTTCGTAGCGTAGCGCGCTAACTGCTGCACCACCGCTCCCCACGCACGCACACACGCACGCACACGCGCGTGCACACACACTCACACGCATGCACACGCAATGATAGAGATCCCTCCCCTGTAGCAGCCTACACGGGCTGTTGGGCCAAGTGTTTATGTGCCTGTGTGTGTGAGTGTGTGAGTGAGTGTGTGTGAGTGTGTGTGAGTGTGTCTGTGAGTGTGTCTGTGAGTGTGCGAGTGTATGTATGTTTGTTGAGTGTGTATGTGAGTGAGTGTGTCTGTGTGTATATGAATGTGTGTGAGTGAGTGTGTCTGCGTGTGCATGTGTGTGTGTGTTTACAATGACACCTGACACCCTAGACGCCCGCGCAAGTGAGATGCGTTCCGTCGCGACAGATTTTCCATGTGAAATATCTAAACTAATAACGTTTCAAAAATAAAACGGGCCCACGCTGCAGATGTCTGTTCCCCGGGTCGTGCGTGCGTGTGTCCTCGCACGCGCGTGTCCGTACGCCTCCGCGCACGTGCGCCTGCGTAAACGCGCGCGTGCGTGTCCTTGCGCGTGCGTGCGTGCGTGCGTGCGTGCGTGAGCAGCACGTGGGCTGCGACCGGCGCCTGGGCTCCAGTGCGGTGGAGGACAAGTGCCGCGTGTGCGGCGGGGACGGCAGCACCTGCGAGACGGTGCACGGCGCCTTCAACGACTCCTTCCCCTGGAACGGTGCGGTGACTTGCGTGGGGGGGGGGGCGAGCGTGGGGGGGGGGGGGCGAGCGTGGGGAGGGGGGTCCGCCGTCGAGGTCCGCGGTTCGAACCCGGCGCGGCTGCCCCGGTTAATACCCACGGGCGTCGGGGAGCGAGTTAAAGTCGACCGATTTCTGTTGAAGCGGGCGCACGGTCGAGAGACCAGGATCGGCGTTTCTCTCGCGACAGCGCCCGTTGGGCCGGTGCTGGCCTGCGTCTGACATGCCCTCATTCTCTGACCCCCCACCCCCCCCACCCCCCCACTGCAGCGTACCACGAGGTGACACGCATCCCCGCCGGCGCCGTGCACATCCTCATCCGCGAAGTCGCCGTGTCCAGAAACTACATCGGTGAGACGCGTCGGTGCCATTGCTGTTGTTGTTGTTTATACGGTGATCGTTGTTATCATTCTGCTCGTTCACCCAGGAAAGCCTCGCCGAGTCTCGTGAGTCTCGTCCAGGAGGGTCCTGCCAGGGTTGTCGTGGTAGGGAGCGGTGCTGCTGCTGCTGCTCCCGCTGCTGGCTGTGATCCCAGTCGAGTGACTCTGATGTGTTCGGTGTTTTGGGGCCGTCGGTTCTCGTAGCGGGCAGCAACTTGGCCTGCACGCTGAACAATGCTAGAACTGCAATGGGTTTGATCGCGTAAATATATAAATGTGCAGTTAAACCCGCCACCACCCGACACAGCCAACTAGTAAGGGTTGTCACGTAAACAGAACGTGGCCAATTTGTCACTGGTACAGCACTAACCGGTGTGTTGGAGAGCCAAGCCACAACATTTACCATCTGAGTACGACGTTTTGCCAGTAATTACAACCAGCTTCATCAGGCGACAGCCAAATCTGCCGGTTTTAACGACACATTTATATATTTAGGCGGTCTAACCCAAACAAAAACTATGGATGATATTGGTCGCGAAAGCTTCCTACGTTGTTAAAAAAAAAACAGACACCAGTTGACGGAGGTCGTGAGGCTGCCCTGAGCAAAACAGCAGAGATAACTTCGTTGACGACGTTAAAGACAACTTAGATTAAGGCCATCAGTCTAACTATGTTTGTTGTAGTACATAGTTAGACTGATGGCCTTAATCTAAGATGTCTTGTGGTTGTTGTTGGTTGTTTGACTTGCATCCCACTGGGATTTTTGCACACAGCGTTGGTGCGCAGTGATTTTTCTGCAATATTTTGCTGTCTTTTCTGGATTTTCTGTTTGCGCATCAGTCACATATTCACTTTAAGATGTTTTTTTTGTTCATGTTTTTGTTTTTGGTTTGTTGTGGTTGCACCTGATTCAAGAGCCGAATGGCTCACAGGGCTATACCTAATAAATTAACTTGAACTTGTTGTTGTAACAGCATTGAAATCGGAGAGCGAGTATTTCCTGAACGGAGCGTGGACCATCGACTGGCCGCGGCGCTTCCAAGCCGGCGGGACGGTGTTCACGTACCGGCGCGAGGCCGACGAGCCGGAGAGCGTGGAGGGCCTGGGGCCAACCACCGAGCCACTCATCGTCATGGTGAGACAGAGACAAAGATCCCCCGTGTAGCCTGGACAGACTGTTGGGGCAAGTGCTGTTAGCGAGCACCTACGAAGGCCGGCACGGCACGATGTTAACTACACACCGCACCAGGTACTCATTTGAGGCTGAGTCGACCTAGGGGAGGCCCTGGACCGGTTCAGATAATCGTTACCAGTGTTGACCGTGAGCGGGAATCGAAACCCGGGTCGCCAGGTTTGTAGCGCAGCGTACACACACACACACCTACACACACACGCGTACACACAGGCATACACCCACACACACGCGTACACGCAGGCATACACCCACACACACGCGTACACACCCACACACGTACACACACACACGCGTAGACATACACACGCGTGCACACACATGCGTACACACACACGTGTACACACACACACGTACACACACACACACGTACACACACACATACACATACACGCGCGTACACACACACACACACACGCCACCGAGCCACTCATCGTCATGGTGTGACACACAGTTGACTGAAGTGCCGGGCAACATCCAGGAGGTCGTGGGACAGGCCCAGGTGCTGTGGGTTGACTGTTGTGCCAGGCTAGGTGCAGGAGGTCACGGTACAGGCCCAGGTGCTGTGGGTTGACTGTTGTGCCAGGCTAGGTGCAGGAGGTCACGGTACAGGCCCAGGTGCTGTGGGTTGACTGTTGTGCCAGGCTAGGTGCAGGAGGTCACGGTACAGGCCCAGGTGCTGTGGGTTGACTGTTGTGCCAGGCTAGATGCAGGAGGTCACGGTACAGGCCCAGGTGCTGTGGGTTGACTGTTCTGGCAGTCTAGGTGCAGGAGGTCACGGTACAGGCCCAGGTGCTGTGGGTTGACTGTTGTGCCAGGCTAGGTGCAGGAGGTCGTGGGACAGGCCCAGGTGCTATGGGTTGACTGCTGTGCCAGGCTAGGTGCAGGAGGTCGTGGGACAGGCCCAGGTGCTGTGGGTTGACTGTTGTGCCAGGCTAGGTGCAGGAGGTCGTGGGACAGGCCCAGGTGCTATAGGTTGACTGTTGTGCCAGGCTAGGTGCAGGAGGTCACGGTACAGGCCCAGGTGCTATGGGTTGACCGTTTTGCCAGGCTAGGTGCAGGAGGTCACGGTACAGGCCTAGGTGCTATGGGTTGACTATTGTGCCAGGCTAGGTGCAGGAGGTCACGGGACAGGCCCAGGTGCTATGGGTTGACTGTTGTGCCAGGCTAGGTGCAGGATGTCACGGTACAGGCCCAGGTGCTGTGGGTTGACTGTTGTGCCAGGCTAGGTGCAGGAGGTCACGGTACAGGCCCAGGTGCTATGGGCTGAGAGGCCAAGGCGATTGGCCGATGGCACCGCGTGTGACGCTGTCGTCGTTCTTGCTGCTGCCGCCGCCGCGTGGTCCCCGGGGCGCCAGGTTCTGCTGCAGGAGCAGAACAAGGGCGTGGAGTACAGCTACAACGTCCCGGCGAGCCGCCCCGGCCGTGTCGACTCGGCCGCCTTCAGCTGGCACCTCGCGCCGTGGTCGCCCTGCTCGGCCACCTGCGCCGGCGGTGAGCCTGGCGACGCCATCGTCGTTACCACCATCGTCACCGTTGTTGTTATCCTCATAATCATCGCCGGCATCGTCGCCATCGTCACCATCATCGTCTTCACCATTGGTGTTATCGTCATAATCATCGCCGGCATCATTCGCCATCATCATCGCCATCATCATCGCCACCATGGTCATCGCCACCATCGCCACCACCACCATGGCAGTCATCATCCCCGCCATCCTCCGCCGAAGTCAGTGCCGTGAGCGCGGTGAGGCAGCTGTGAGTGTGGTGAGGCTACGGTGAGTGCGGTGAGTGCCGTGAGTGTGGTGAGGCTACGGTGAGTGTGGTGATGGAGCTGTGAGTGTGGTGAGTGTGGTGAGTGCGGTGATGGAGCGGTGAGGCTACGGTGAGTGTGGTGATGGAGCTGTGAGTGTGGTGAGTGTGGTGAGTGCGGTGATGGAGCTGGGAGTGTGGTGAGGCAGCGGTGAGTGTGGTGAGTGCGGTGATGGAGCTGGGAGTGTGGTGAGGCAGCGGTGAGTGTGGTGAGTGCGGTGATGGAGCTGGGAGTGTGGTGAGGCAGTGGTGAGTGTGGTGAGTGCGGTGATGGAGCTGGGAGTGTGGTGAGTGCGGTGAGTGTGGTGAGGCAGTGGTGAGTGTGGTGAGTGCGGTGATGGAGCTGGGAGTGTGGTGAGGCAGCGGTGAGTGTGGTGAGTGCGGTGATGGAGCGGTGAGTGCGGTGCGTTGTCGGCGCAGGGCTGCAGCAGCGCGAGGCGGCGTGCCGGCGCGTGGACGACGCCAGCGCGGTGCAGGGCAGCCACTGCGACGCCGACGCCAAACCCCGCGAGCCGCAGCGGCCGTGCAGCACCGAGCCCTGCCCCCCTGAGTGAGTCCGTCATCCGCCCGCGTCACCACGTGGCGGTCACTTGGCGGCCACGTGACCCCGCAGCAGCAGGGGAAGCGCCCCCCGGGTTCGATTCCAAACTCGGGGGCCGCATTTTGTGTTGCGGAGGTCGGTACGAGCGCGAGTGTGAGATTGAGTGTTTGTGAGTGTGAGAGTGTGTACATGATAATGAGTGTTTGTGAGTGTGAGAGTGTGTGTGAGAGCGAGTGTGAGATTGAGAGCGAGTGTTTGTGAGTGTGTAATTGAGAGCGAGTGTTTGTGAGTGTGAGAGTGTGTAAATGGCGGTTAGCGTGCCGCGCTAACGAATCCGGCGACCCGAGTTCGACTCCCGTTCATGGCCAGCACCGGTGACGAATATCTGAACCGGTCCTGGGCCTACCCTAGGTCGACTCCGCTTTCCGCCTCCCACGTGGCACAATAATAAGAAGAAGAATAGACACGAGTCACCGTTCATCGGCGGAGAACATCTTACAAAGCCTCCTGAACGACAACATTCCCATCGACCTCGCGTGGCTGTTCCTGGACAAACAAGTGAAACGTTCACACGAGTCTCCCCCCCCGCTCCCCTCGCGAGAGCAGGTGGCTGATCGGCGAGTGGTCCGAGTGCAGCCGCACGTGCGACGGTGGCGCGCGCACGCGCACGGTGGCGTGCGTGCGCACCGTGGGGCCCGCCGAGCAGGAGGCACTGGACGCCGCACGCTGCCTCACCCACCGGCCGGCCGACCGAGAGCCGTGCGCTAACCGCACCTGCCCGCCGCGATGGGTGGCGCAGGAGTGGTCTGAGGTAACGCGCGACTCGCGGTTTCGATTGCGTGTCGGTTAGAACCCGATCGGGGGTTTGTCGGCGTCGGCGCGGACGGTGACAAAATCTTCTCGGCGTCGCGCGGTGGAATGGTTCGCGACGGGAGTTATTCGCCGCGGAAAGCAAGCCCCGACGTTCGAAACGAGCGTGGATCGGAGAGCACCAAGCCGCCCGTGTGCTCATCGCCTACAGCTGAGGCTCGGCCCATAATTCCGTGCTCTTCTCTTCATCCGGCCCCGCGGCGGCCGCGCCGTAAAGCGAATAGATGTCAAATCCTTACCCGGCAAGGATTCGAATCCGCCTCGCCGCCCTGGTTAACGCTGCGGTGGCGAGCGGCAACATTGACACTGCCACGCCGCGCCGTCCGCTTCACGCGCGGAGCACGTGACTGATCCCGTGACTGATCCCGTGACGTCGCTCGCAAGGGGAGGCCGTGGTGCGCCGCCATCGCGGCCCAAGTTGCGCCGCAGCTTGTTCAGTTGGGATGGCACAGCAGCAGCAGCAGCAGCAGCTACAGTAGTAGCAGCAGCAGCAGCAGCAGCTGCAGCAGTAGTAGCAGCTGCAGCAGCTGCAGCAGCAGCAACAGGAGCGGTCACCCCCCTAGTGGCCGCAGACGAATGTCCCCTTGCAGGACAGATGACGAGGCAGAATCTTTAGAATCAGCATCTTGATTTCGACCGGAAGAATGCGATGAGCAGAGACAGCTGCCCCTGGGGGTGTCTTTCCTTTGTCTAATCGACCGTTCATTCGCTGGTTCATCTGATAATTTCTTTGCTTATTCATGCTTTGGATCATTCGTCCATCCATCCCTCTGATTGCTCTCTCATTCATTCATTGTTTGTGCGTTCGTCCCCCTCCCCCCTGCGCCCGCTTGCCCCGCAGTGCGCGCCGCGCTGCGGCCCGGGGTACAAGCACCGCGTGGTCCAGTGCAAGAGCAGCGACCTGAGCCGCGTGCTGGCGCCGTCGCAGTGCACCGAGGGCAGCAAGCCCGCCGCCCGCATGCGATGCTCACTCGCCAAGTGCCCGCCGCCACGCTGGGTGCCCGGTGACTGGGGCCCGGTGAGCCGACACCACCGCCACTTCCTGCCGACACCGCCGCACCACTTCCTGCCACCGCCGCCACGATTTCCTGCCATCACCACCACCACCACCACCGTCACGATTTCCTGCCACCACCACCACCGCCACGATTTCCCGCCACCACCACCACCACCGCCACCACTTCCTGCACCACCACCACGATTTCCCGCCACCACCACCACTTCCTGCACCACCGCCACCATCACAGGAAGCAGTGGTGGCGGCAGCAGGAAATGGTGGTGACAGCAGAGCGTCACATCACCTGCCCCGGTCTAACTCTCTCTCTCTCCCGCACGCACACCACGTGTCCCCGCACCCCCACCCCACCTTACCCACAGTGCTCGGCGCAGTGCGGCGTGGGGCAGCAGAAGCGCAGCGTGACGTGCGTGTCGCACTCGGGACACCCGTCCGCCGAGTGCCCCGAGGCCCTGCGGCCGCCCCCCATGCAGCAGTGCGAGGTCAAGTGTGACGGGGGGCCCGTCAACACCTCCGAGGGTGAGTCGCGTCATCGTTGTCACCGTCATCGTCGTCGTCATCGTCGTCGTCATCGTCGTCGTCATCGTCGTCGCCATCGTCATTGTGATCATTATAATCGTCATCATCATTGTTCTCATCATCGTCTTAATCGCCATCGTAACCATAGCGACGTGTAGATGTGTCTAGGGTTGTGCCACACGTTGTCGAGAACGGTGTGGTAGCAGGGCGGCTGGGAGATCGCCGCTCCCACGTTCCGCTCTGCTCCCACGTTCCGCTCCACGTGCCGCGAGCTTCAGCAGCAGGAAACGAACGTTCCGTTCTCGTTCGGATCAAATTAACCCCCCCCCCGCCACTCCCCCACCGAAAGAGCTGCGCAGGTACATGGAGCGGAACGTCGTTTGTGAAACAAACTTTATCCTTCACCGCGAGCGTAGGAGCCTCACTGATCGGGTACTAGAGGGGAGAACACAGAACGTGTCCTATACGGCAGTAAACCTTCCCCCACAGCCGGCGCGTGCCGTGCACTGGGCCACACACGGCCAGGCCCGCTCGAAATCCAACGGGCAGGGTAAGACGTGGGGACCTAACGCGTTCGTTCCTGCCCCCCACCCCCCCTGACTCCCTCCAGAATGCAAGGACGTGAACAAGGTTGCCTACTGCCCCCTCGTGCTCAAGTTCAAGTTCTGCGGCAGGGCCTACTTCCGGCAGATGTGCTGCAAGACCTGCCAAGGGTACTGACGCTCGCCGCCGCCGCGGTAACAGCAGTAGGAGGAGCGGGGTTTTACCGGCCGGTCATGTCCGGAGACCGGAGTCGCCTGTGTAGGGGGGCCGTCGTGGCGGGCGACCGAGCGGGCGGGCGGGCGGGCAGGCGGGCGAGATGGATGGATGGATGGAGAGAGCGAAGGGTGGGAAGGCCGTTCCGCTAAACCGTGTGGCGGCATTTGGGATTTCTCCACCGTCGTCACCACCGTCACCGCCACCACCGCCGCCGCCACCACCGCCGCCGCCACCACCGCCGCCACCGCCGAGTGGAAGGCCTCGTTTCTCCCGCCCCGACCGCGGTGCTTGCGGACGCTAGGCCAGGTGCTAATTTTCAGGCCGAGTTCGCCCTGCATCACCAGGGATGAGGGGGAGATGCTTCTGACCGAGCGGAGAAGCGAATCGGTGACCCGTGCAGCGCGAAGAAAAGAAAATACGTTTTGGAACGCGAGTTTGGAAGATGCTGGATTTTTTCCGAATCTCCGGTGCGGACGGTGGGAGACACGGGGGGCGGTGGGGGGGGGCGTCGTCGCACGAGGCGCCGGGGCTTTCACCGAAACCGGCAGCACACGTTTTTGCGTCTCGTCGAGAAGCCGACGTGACGCGTGCGGTGGGGCACTCCGGAGGCCGGCCGGACCGCGACGTCGGCCGCGACTCTTCCGCTTGACGGATTTCCGAACACGGGGAAATGCGAATGGACCGGACTCGGATCGAACCTGGGGGGAGGAGCGATCGTGCGAGTTCGCGAGTAATAATAATGATGATGATAATGTATTCCGCACAGCAGCACTTGAATGACAAAGAGGACGGATGTCGAATGGAGGTGAAATTTTACTTAACGCAAACAAAACACGCCAACCCGAGGCTTCACATTGACCGCACGGTAGGCTCGGCGCGCCCTCGCGCGACGTGGATCCCGGGTGCGGGGTGCTCCACGCTGGGGGGGCTCCACGCTGGGGGGGCTCAATGCTGGGGGGGCTCCACGCTGGGGGGAGTTCCACGCCGGGGGGCTCCGCACGAGCGACGCCGTCGCCGCGTCTTCTTCGCGAACCGTGCTGCTGGGAGTTTGGAAAACGCGATGGCAGCTGATGGGATAACGAGCATCGATTTGAGCCTCTTTGCAATTTTGCCGTCTGGCTTTACCGAAGACGATCGGCACGCTTGGAATGTCTTCCGCCAAATTTTTTTTATTGTTATTTTTTTTTTTACTCCTTTTGGCTTTTTCCGAGCGCTCGCCTCGCGGTTCTCCGGCTGTCGCGCCGCCGGGCGGCGGGGACTTGGGCCAAGAAATGGCGGCGTTCGGCCCCCGAGAGATTCTCTACAGACCTCAAGTGTTTCAGTCGTTTTGTTTTTCTTTGCTCCCGAGAGGGAGACGCGGCGCCGTTCCTCGCGAAACGCCGGGGCGCATTTTTACACTTCGTAAGAAGCAATACGGCCGCTTTCTCATTATTTTGTTACAATTGTTATAATTGTTATTACCGCCATGATTACCTTTCCTTAATAATCTCATGCACTGACCAACAACGACAGCATTACCGAGCCCACGCGCTCGCTCAGCGTTTCTAAAACACTTCCAGGAGAAGCAATACGTTACGTCGGTTAAACGCCCTACCCTTTTTCAGCGGTAGCGGGTTTCTTTTTTTTACACTAACTAATTTCTGTTACACATGCTAATTCCGCCGTTGACTTTGAGAGAGGCGTTTGTGTACCAGCGCTTTTTATTATTACCGCTCCACCTGGGGAGCGACTTGCACACGGGCACAGTGTTAATGTACGCACGCACGGATCCCCACGCTTCCCCGGTCTCCCCAACAGCCTCCCGCCCCTCCCATCCACCCCCAACTGATGATCTGTCAATAGATGGATGGATCGTGGCTGACGATGACGATGATGGAACCGACTTGAAGCGCTGCACTTAGCTGCCGCGATGTGAAACCCGGCTGTGGGGTCAATGTGGCCTCGTGGGCTGCAGCAGGAGTCGAACCTTTTTCCACTGCACGAGCCGAGCCGTGCCACTGTCGTCACACGCTTTTCATGACGTCGTGGAGTAAGCGACGCCAACGACGCTGAGCGCGAGGTTTTCCGCCGTTTTGACGTCACACGCAACGAGCGAGTGGGTACGTGCGTAGCCGACGCGACGATTCCACGTCCCAGCGCACGTGTGACATGGCTCGGATATGCCCATGTAGGAAAGGGTCCTCGTGAATACGAGTAGCATTGGGAAGGCGTCCGCACGGAGCCATCGTGACCGGCGAGTGGGGCTCGCGTCTCCACGTGGCCGCTATCGCGCGCCGTGCCGCCACACAACGGAGGGGCCCCCAGGACTCGCCTCTGTTTGTGTCGCTGACGAACAGGCGTGGCAATCCTGGGCCTCCCTGTTCACGCCGCGCGGCCCGCACGCGCTCGTAGCGGGAGGGCTGCATCGTTCGCGTCCGTTGGGCACGGCCCCGTCGGTGGTGGTTGGGCGAGCGGGCGAGCGGTCAGGCCTGGAGCCGGGCAGCAGCTGCAGCGTGGGGCGGTGGCGGGTTCACGTCTTTAATCTGCAAAAGATGAGAAACAGCCGTCAGAACAGAAACATTCGTGCAGGCCGGAAAGAAAACAAACTGGCTTTAGCAACACGCACGCATGCAGGTTGTTCAGCAATGCACGTACGGAAGCTCTCAGCCTAGACCACCATTGGCACTTGGCCTAAAGGCAACAACAATAAATGTGACAATGAGGAAGACCCATCATCGCAAGTGGTACAGCGCGTTCCCCACTCTGCGTGCAGGCACCAGTCCACTCCATACACAGGGCACCCAGAGGCACATCGCAGCAGGGGGCATTGATGACTGGACTGACGAGGATTTTACACTTGGCAGGACCCTCCTGAAAAGCAGTCTTGAGACTCGGTGAGGCTCTCCTGCGGTAAAAACAAACAGTATAAAAAATGTATAACGGGAGCCCATGATGGCGCCGTTCGTGAGCTGGTGGGTGGATGACTTAGCGCCCGCCACCGTTCGATGGTGCTGATGGTGCTGATGGTGATGATGGTGATGATGGTGCTGATGGTGCTGATGGTGTCGATGGTGCTGATGGTGCTGATGGGCAGGCAGCAAAGTTATCCCCCCGCTGCCTCCCGCTTGCGTGGGAGGAGTGAGCGCGCATGGGGCCCAGTGTGTGGTGCGCGCCCACTAATGTCGATGAATGTGGGACCCCTAAGCTCGCGAATCCGTTCATTTCCCCCAATTTCGCGCCTCGCGTACGCCGGAAACGGCGCCACGACAACGCGACGTTGACGCCAAAGTGGGGACCGCGCAGACGAGAAACTTGTCGCTCGAGGCGGCCAAGTGGTGGTATTTTTGTGACCGGTCGGGGACGTTTTGACTGCAGTAAACATCGTGCCGGCGTGCCGGAAACGTGTCTGAGCGAGAAACACACACGCGCACACACACACGTGCGCGTGCGTGCGTGGGGCGATGGGGCCATAGAGCGAGGAGATTTCACTACTCCTGAACCGTGGCCCCGCAGCGAACCGTGGGGCCGCCAGTTTGAGGTCAACCGTGGCCATGGAGGATCACCCTCGCGGCTTCCGTGCGCAGTGACCAATGTGAATTTTAATACGAATAAAATTGGACGATAAAGTTAGACTCTTTTTTTTTATAATCAAAATAAATATGGTACAGATACGAATATGTGGTGTGTTTTAGTTTTTTGCCAAATATTTATTGTACTGTAGTCTACCAAAGAACGGAATGGCTGTGTAAATTATTAATTTGCAAGTAAAGATACAATGTAAACTATTGTTTTACGAAGTTTTTCTCTCTCTCCTATTGTTTTTGTACAGAGCAATTTTTTTTCTGGTTCCTTTCAGAATATTATTAACGTTATTTATTTATGTTTCATGCTTTTTCACATTGGTCACAGGATTCGTTTTGAGGATGGAATATCTTGGTGCTTTTCTCCCTCCCCACTCACACATTACCTATATTTAGTGATTTTAAATGAAATCTATATCTTTACACAGTACTCTTGTATCGATTGTGTCCTGGGCTGACGATGGTGCATATAATAGTGTATAATAAACAGTATTTGTTTTCTACAAAAACACGTTACACGCTGATTATTAAGCAGGTGACGCGGGGAGGAGGCCCTCGCGGGTCAGAGTGGCGCTGCTCACACATCAAGAAAGGTTGGTTCGAAGTCTGTCTCGGGCGTCTTTCGTCGGCGGGGTTTAAATGTCTCCCTCTCCGCTAATTTATTTCGAGCCGTTCGTTTTTGTTGTCTTCAGTTTGCTCTCCTCCCCGCTGCACCTCCGATTAGCACGGTTGGCTACGTACGGTGCGAAAGAAGTTCAGCATACGTGCTGCGGGTATCTGCATGAGAGAGTCTGTGTGGCGTTGCGATATTCTCTTCTGCATGGGTTTCCTCCGACATCGAAAGATAACAACACGCAATGTGGCCGGTATTCGGCCGAATCAACATCGCAACGTAGCAAATGTTCCCAATTGCACGTCGCAACATCGCCCCCTGCTGTGAACGCGTGGCAGGACCCTCCTGGACAAGAGTTGAGTCTCGGTGAGGCTTTCCTGAACGGGCGGTGAGAGTGTGTGAGTGAGTCTCTGAGTGAGTCTCTGAGTGAGTCTCTGAGTGAGTGAGTCTCTGAGTTAGCGTCTGAGTGAGTCTCTGAGTGAGTCTCTGAGTGAGTCTCTGAGTGAGCCTCTGAGTGAGTCTCTGAGTGATTCTCTGAGTGAGTCTGAGTGAGTCTCTGAGTGAGTCTCTGCGTGAGTCTCTGAGTGAGTCTTTGAGTGAGTCTCTGCGTGAGTCTCTGAGTGAGTCTTTGAGTGAGTCTCTGAGTGAATGTCTGAGTGAGTCTCTGAGTGAGTCTCTGCGTGAGTCTCTGAGTGAGTCTCTGAGTGAGTCTTTGAGTGAGTCTCTGCGTGAGTCTCTGAGTGAGTCTTTGAGTGAGTCTCTGAGTGAGTGTCTGAGTGAGCCTCTGAGTGAGCCTCTGAGTGAGTCTCTGAGTGATTCTCTGAGTGAGTCTGAGTGAGTCTCTGAATGAGTCTCTGCGTGAGTCTCTGAGTGAGTCTCTGAGTGAGTCTCTGAGTGAGTGAGTCTCTGAGTTAGCGTCTGAGTGAGTCTCTGAGTGAGTCTCTGAGTGAGTCTCTGAGTGAGCCTCTGAGTGAGTCTCTGAGTGATTCTCTGAGTGAGTCTGAGTGAGTCTCTGAGTGAGTCTCTGCGTGAGTCTCTGAGTGAGTCTTTGAGTGAGTCTCTGCGTGAGTCTCTGAGTGAGTCTTTGAGTGAGTCTCTGAGTGAATGTCTGAGTGAGTCTCTGAGTGAGTCTCTGCGTGAGTCTCTGAGTGAGTCTCTGAGTGAGTCTTTGAGTGAGTCTCTGCGTGAGTCTCTGAGTGAGTCTTTGAGTGAGTCTCTGAGTGAGTGTCTGAGTGAGCCTCTGAGTGAGCCTCTGAGTGAGTCTCTGAGTGATTCTCTGAGTGAGTCTGAGTGAGTCTCTGAATGAGTCTCTGCGTGAGTCTCTGAGTGAGTCTCTGAGTGAGTCTCTGAGTGAGTGAGTCTCTGAGTTAGCGTCTGAGTGAGTCTCTGAGTGAGTCTCTGAGTGAGTCTCTGAGTGAGCCTCTGAGTGAGTCTCTGAGTGATTCTCTGAGTGAGTCTGAGTGAGTCTCTGAGTGAGTCTCTGCGTGAGTCTCTGAGTGAGTCTTTGAGTGAGTCTCTGCGTGAGTCTCTGAGTGAGTCTTTGAGTGAGTCTCTGAGTGAATGTCTGAGTGAGTCTCTGAGTGAGTCTCTGCGTGAGTCTCTAAGTGAGTCTCTGAGTGAGTCTTTGAGTGAGTCTCTGCGTGAGTCTCTGAGTGAGTCTTTGAGTGAGTCTTTGAGTGAGTCTCTGAGTGAGTGTCTGAGTGAGCCTCTGAGTGAGCCTCTGAGTGAGTCTCTGAGTGATTCT